TTCATGCTAACCACAAGGTCCATAAACACCCAACATCACTTCATGCTAACCACAAGGTCCATAAACACCCAACATCACTTCATGTTTACCACAAGGTCCATAAACACCCAACATCACTTCATGCTTACCACAAGGTCCATAAACACCCAACATCACTTCATGTTTACCACAAGGTCCATCAACACCCAACATCACTTCATGTTTACCACAAGGTCCATAAACACCCAACATCACTTCATGTTTACCACAAGGTCCATAAACACCCAACATCACTTCATGCTAACCACAAGGTCCATAAACACCCAACATCACTTCATGCTTACCACAAGGTCCATAAACACCCAACATCACTTCATGCTAACCACAAGATCCATTAACACCCAACATCACTTCATGCTAACCACAAGGTCCATAAACACCCAACATCACTTCATGCTAACCACAAGATCCATAAACACCCAACATCACTTCCTGTTTGCCACAACATATGATTTCAGTAATTTATAGTATAGTATTTGTTTCTGTACATAATTAAACAGTGTATGTCTCACTGTTCACAATGCTTTCTATAATTATAAGTATGGTTCAAGGGTCAGGAACTAGATTAGTTCAACAAGAACTACCTTTCTAGTTCCTGTATATTTATTTTTCTCATTGACATGCCTTGAGATTCGTGGACATTTCATTTCTGGTGAAATAAAAGTAGTGGAATTGTCTTGCGGATTTTTTGACAACTGCTTGACTGATTGTTGTATAACTTGTAATTTACATTGTGTTGTTAGAGGCTTTTATGATAAGGATATCATTTGGCTATGTTATTTGTACATTGTTTGCAATACTAGTTTTTGGCTCGTCACTATTGTTTGGATATTCCACTAAACTATTCCCTTCATTAACAATGTTACATTTAGTAAGCAAAACCCTGGATTCAAACCAACAATTTTCAGATTGACAAGCTGTGTGAATGCATGGTCAACTGTACTAAATGTGATTGAAAGAAACATGTTATATGTACATAAATTGGGTGCAATTTCTACAGGTCATTAGCCCTTCTATACAAAAGGAATTACGTAACACATATACATGTACACTGAGTGTGCCGACACACAGCCTGGGATGGAGCTGTTAGGGGTCTCTGTTTTAATAAACACCTTGCGGACATAGGATGTTTAGGTGAACCTGGACCCCAAACAGCCATCGAATGTAACTAATGTTAGTGTCCTCATAGTCATACTTTTACTGATAGCTAAACAAGTATAAACACTACTTAAATACAAGTTTGAACACACAAATACTGAATACCAACAAATGTGTTTTTAATACACTATTCATATTTTCAAACTTGGGTTCAGAATATCTGTTGGAGTATAAAATCACTCTATCAGTGTTTTATCAAGAAATTACACAATCACAAAAAGTTTTGAATAAAATTACTGGAAATGCCTATTCTGGACCCATTACAAAGGATTCAAAAACTGTCAAGTTTTGACAAACCAATGATTGCAATGCTCTCATCTTGTAGACACAGCCTCTTTCTGATTTATGAGGAAATAAATACCAAACAATGAAGAATTGAAGAAATAACTGATACCTTACCTCTGCATGTATATCATGGTCAAAACAATATGCAGTGTACCCCAAAATTCTTATTTGGCCCAATATGCCGACAATTCAATTGCCCTGTTGACCACATGTATTTATAGCTAAATTTCTATGTAGACCTATGTAGTACAAAGGATAACCAATCACAAAACAGTGTCAATCAGCAATGTGGTAACATGTAGAGGATGTCCTCGCAAATTTTAAAACTGAACTACTGTTTCTATCATGGACTGCAGATCCAAAAGAAGTTCATTGTGTTCGTACAAATCCCCTTAAAGGACGCTAGTCGTCGCGCTGTGCCGCACACATGTGCGACATTTGTGTTGATAAACATTGATTTTCCTACAATCCAATGCGCTCTGCTAACGGCAATCACGAGTACAGGTTGGCACAACCTTGGCATGACGTGCACTCATTACTGTACGTTCCAATCACCAACAAAATTCCATAGTTAAATCTTGGTAACGTCTCAGTTTGTGCTCCTTGGTCTGCACAACGAAGTCGCAATCTTTGTTCATACGAGTCACATCTCTCCCCCATGAGTGGCGTGGCACGACAACCATCGCCCTTAGAGTCTGAAGATTTGTATAAAAATTTGTTTTTTATTTTCAAAAAAAAGTGAACTGTATAATATGTAAGTTTGGATCTGTCAAAGCAGTACCGTATATAGCGAGGATTAAGTTTTCAAGGTGTAAGATTGTTATCTTATTAATAATATTTTTAGCAAGACTGACTGCCTGAACACATCTGCTCACATTTAGATGTACTCTTGGAAACACAATAATTTCTCTGATAGTCAGTGTTGTTGATCCTGTGTCGATGCATTGCCAGTATTGATAATTACTTAGTATAGTGTGACAGCAAGGTTATGTTTATTACATCCTTCCCAGGAAACAAAGTAAGACATCCACAAAACAGATTCTGTACAGATACATACGTTTGTTACAGAACTGAATTGTGAATTTTAGAGTTACAAGATACATGTATGTTGGTCTGAGTACATCATCAAATCCACCATTTTGTTGATTCTTGTTCATAGCTGGTTGTGTTACAATCAGTGAAATAGTCCAAATATCCATTTATCACACCATTACATCAACATGACTTGGCAAATCAATGTTCAATTTCAAATATGTATGTACTACGTCATCAAGACTCGGCATGACATGTTTGATTCCAACTACCCGTGTATCACACACCAGGACAAATTTGGAATCATGCAAATATGGGTATGCAGGATTTGGTGAACACACGCCACATGAACCTACAAACTGCAGTGATTAGCTAAACAAAAACTCATGTGCACCACAAAACTGAAAATGGTCATGAGAAAGAAACAACAAAATCTGGTCACCTAAAATACTTTATAAGAATAACTATTTACAAGGTACAATGAGTTTCATGCCAAATTAAATTACTAAATACAGATGCATGTATTGCGAAACACTGGGTTTTCGTGACTGACTTCAATCATTATGAAAAGAGATTACAATATGCTAAATGTATGTTGTTCATAAAAAAAAACATCTACACAAAATACAAGAATAGTCAAGACGACATCACCCAAATTCAAGATCTTAATTTCCTCAAAAGATATAGGTACGTACAAGGTATTTACAGATAGAAACCAAAATCAGAATCGTCCTTTGAAAATGTCTAATCAATTATGGGAACGTCTTACATGTACAAGTAAATGTTACAGTCACAATTTAGCATCAGCTGTAACTTTTACAAATTTCTAAAAAAGTTTGTTGGAAAGCTATTAGTAAAACATTAACCCTTTCACCGCCACATTTTTTTCCTGCTTAAATTTATGTAAATTTGTTTAAATTTTTAGTAATTGTCACTGAATTAAATTTTAATTTTGGATTAAACAGTTAAAAATGTGACATTGTTTTTAGGTTTTGATAAAAAATTTGGTAATTTTCGCAACATTTCATATGGAAAAGTGCAGACTATAAATGGTACTAGGTATTTTGTGCATGGTGCCAACTGTTGCTTAGGCGATCAAAGGGTTAATCAATACTTGAATGCATGAAAAAACATGGAGGTTGCATGTACTGTGGCTTTCAGAATATTTTATCATATTTTGTGATGGCTCAAATGGAATAAATATTGTAAATCAGTACATCTGATATACATGACTCAAAATGACACACTGAATCCCATTTTGATCATTTCTATGGACACCAGATCATTGGAAGATAGAAACAAACAAGGGGTAGAATATTTGAAATGTGATAAAACAAAGTATGCATGCTGGCATTAAATAATAAATAATTGTATATAATAATAAAAGTCTATCCCCCTTTTCTGTGTGGCAACCCTATTCACCCATTAGTTATGAAGACAATTTTTGTTCTTTTTTTCTTCAGAAAATGTAAGTTATCATTGTTTTTAAAAATTGCTAAGGTTGATTTGATGATTCATGTGAACAATTTAGCAAGAAAAGGGAAACCTAGAAAGCGACTTTAATAATTAAGTACAATCCCCTTGCCACAGAGATTAATTGAACCAAGTTTCTGCTAGGGACATATCCATTCAAAGTCAGCTTTATACTAATATTTTTTTTTCAAATTATTCAGGGATTATTTTTTTGTAGACTGGCAGCAAATAAAATCGACATGCTATTTGACAGCTGCATTCATATACATGTAACTTACTGCACAGACAGATAGAAGCAATATACACAACATCACTGTCATTAAGAGGCATTTGCAGTATGGCTCAGGTGAAAGACATAGTCCTGTTTTGTCTTAGAAAGTCTAGTAACATAAATGTGACACATCACTAATGTCACAGGAAGGGATTGCTTGTGTTTGCAGGTCGAGCAGCATTCGGGAATTGACCAGCACTCTGCAAAAAAAAAAAAAAACATCATTGTTACAGGTGAATGTCCACCGATTTGAGCTCCGTACACATTGGTATGTATACATTGAGGATATCAAATTTGTGACTGTACAATATCAAATTTATAATATGAGATTATCGATAGTAATTATTTCTTCCAACATGGGTTTAATGAATCTAATATTGTTAGCTTACTTTCTTGCAATCCAGAAATAGTCATTTTTTGAAACAATCACTATATTTTAAGTTTCAGGAATGCGTTGGCAACATAATTACTAGTTTTGGGGTCAATTAAAAACTGTGTTTATTTCAGAAATTCACCATGAGACATTGGTGGAACAAATTTCTGTGCACGAAGATGTTGGGAGAATTGAAAGTGACATCTAATATATATATATGCAGCTTTACATGTATATCACATACACATTTTAGCTGACATACGAAACTATCAGAAATAATCAAATCAATATAATTCAAGAAATAATGTGTAAAACGACTAACATTTAATCAAGATTTAATAAATGGCTTTTTGTCACTGACACTCCAGGTTGGTGTACTCCTCGACACCAATCTGACACATATCTCACAAGGAGTGGCAGGTGTTTGACCAAAACTTGAATTGTTTTTTTTTTTACATAGGAAATTTCAAATTTTATTAGTTTTTGTTGTTCTGAAGATTTAATTATGTATAATATTAATATTTCACTGAAACATTTGATTAAAAAATAACTGTTGTAAAAAGAGTTCCGCTTATAAACACGTCATTATATTTTAGCCACAATCAGCTAGTAAGGTGTCATATTACACAGTTCTGTGCCAAGACGATGTTCTGAAACGACACAACAGGCATGTTTTGTGATAATCTGCTATTATGTTGAAGGTTATCACAGAATAGATATATTTTGCATGATTTCACAGAACTGCGATGATATATTGGATAAATTATTGATGGTGCTATGTGCAGTATCACACACATGATAAAGAGAATACTACCGAGCATACAGTTACAGGCTATAAGACAGTACAGTAAAATCAGATATGCTACAAAATATGCATATATTTTGAATAGAACGTAACGCACCATGAATGGATTAGCTGCCATATTCATTTGTTGCTGTTGTTGTTGCATTTGTTGCTGATTCCATCCACCAAATTGTTGTGGCTGTTGTTGCTGCTGCTGCTGCTGTTGTTGAGCCATCTTGAACTGGTTCCCAGCCATTGCCGTCATAGCGGCACCGCCAAAGCTGAGATCTTGCTGCGGGGTAAAACCTCCCATTGTACCAAAACCAGCAGGCTGTGCAGCCATGCCGCCAGGGACACCGCCCATCTGTCCAAATCCCCCTGTTTGTTGAGATGCATATGCCATGTTGGCAGATGCTCCAAATGATCCATTTGCTTGTGCTTGGCTATATACACTAGAAGGGGCCTGCGTCATAAATGGATTAGCAGCAATACTTAGTCCAAAGCCAGTTGTGCTTTGTTGGCCAAAGCCGGCAGTACTAGTTTGTCCAAAACCTGCCGGGGCCTGCTGTTGCTGTCCAAAACCTGCCGGGGCCTGCTGTTGCTGTCCAAAACCTGCAGGGGCCTGCTGTTGCTGTCCAAAACCTGCCGGGGCCTGCTGTTGCTGTCCAAATCCAGCTGTAACATATTGTCCATATGCAGCTTGTCCACCATACCCTGTTGCTGTGCTACCTCCTTGGCTGAAAGGATTTGTTGATCCTATATTACAAAAATAAACAATGTAATGGATTACGTTAATTCTACATGTGACATAAATTGACATGTTTTACTGTCATAAAATGGCAAATTTTCATTTGTGTCTCATTTACAAACATGTCATTGATTACATGTTTGGAAGGGTATAAAATCTTCTAATGAGGCCTTGTTATTATGCAAAATACATTCAAATATGTAAATGGATTCAATAAATATTACATTAGTTTTCCCCATAAATATAATGATCTCATATAGACTACTATAGTGGGCAATTCTGTTTGTATTATTATTTAAAAATATTTTTACTAGGAGTTGCAAAAACAATATTCTTACTACAATCTGAAAAGAATTAAGTACCTACCTCCAAATGTACTACTAGTTGACATACCAAAGCCTGTTGACGATGATGGTGATGAACTCAAGGCAGTTAAACTACTGGACTGTGTTACCGAGGATTGGGGGGCACTAAACACTGACACACCTCCTTTCCAATCTATATTACTGCCTGTGTCGTGAAATAACGTATCCAACTGTGAGAGAGCTGCATACCGATCAGCCGCACTTTTCTCTTGGGCCAATTGAGCAGGAGTTGTTGTAAAGATGGGTGCTGAACTAAAGTTACCAAAGTCATTTTGATTAGAGATAGAAGAACTAGGATGCGGTTGGCCAGGTTGGTTTGGTTGAAGAAGACCTGGGGGAGAAAAAAAGATCAATCAAGCATCATCAAATGACCGAGTGTATATTTATAGACTAATAAAACAGTTATTTAAGATGTATGTACCAATAATAATCAAAAGTACATCCTCGTACGTCAGTTGATGAAAAATCAGCAACATGATGGTCAAAATAGCTTCTCTGTTTAAGCAGAGCAGTCATGATCAAGTCAAAACAACTGCTTTGTTTACATGCTTGTTTAAGTGTCTCAACTCGTGTTCAGATCTTACCACTGATATGGATAAGTTAAATAGTAGTCTTGGATACATCAACTCTGGTTATAGGATACATCTGTGATTGAGTATAAGAGTGTACCCCTAATATCACAAAATGAATTAATCAAATAGAAGTCCAGCCAAGTTAATCAATCAAACTAGCAGTTTTGAATAAGTCAAATAGTATTTTTTAACAAATATGACAACAAATATTTGCTAAAGTTACAGGATTTAAAATATCATGAAATATTCAAATCTAATAGAGGCCCCTCCAAGGTACAAATGAAGTTCAGTGCTGCATGCAAACTTGCAATCGCCAGTTCAGTTTTGTTTGCGAACAATTTGCCAATATACAGCTCCATGCAAACTTGTAGCTTCAATCGCATGTACCGGATATTGCTACATCACAGATCTCTTTACTGGTAACATCAAGACAACTATTTTACCACCTGATATTTGTACTTTCAATATGTGTGGATACATTAAATTGTATACTAACGCACAATCTTCTGTATAAAAATACAGGCATCCAAAAGAAACTGGTTGATTAAGTGTGAAAAGAAACAATTTCATGTAAATTGCAGATGTAGGCAATGAAGTTGGTGTTGTGAGTATGATGGTAGATTACACATTAAGTATTGTGGTGTTCTTACTGGTGGTATGTCAGATGATACAAGACTACGACAGAATGCCTTGCCTAGACGTTTGTGGGGGCATATTGAACAAGAAGAGTGACCTATTTCAATTCAGTCCAATAATTGGTTAATCTGGAATTCCATTCTATTCATATGCAAAATGTTGGCACATATGCTCACCGCGGTATATTTGCAACAGAGTTAGCGATGAAAATTCAGACAGTCAAATGAAGCAAACATTTCAGGCCTTTTTAAAAAATAAAATCAAGTAATTGCATTACATAGCCTCTGTCTCTTGAAGTACCCCCCGTAGTTAAATATCCATGCCCACTTTTGTCTACTAAATACCAATGCTGATTACATAATTGAGCTAATAGTCTCATCTTATCATTGAGATAAATCAGGATTTGATGAATGGTTCCAGAGGAAAAACAAGAATGCTTCACAGAATTGCAATTAAACTAATTGCCATGGTAACAAATTATATAGAGTAAGGATTCCCAACTGTTTAATTTTGGATAAACAATAGAAGCAATACAGCATAACAATCAATACAATACAGGTGTTTAACAGCCAAAAAGTCTTTTCAGCGAAAATGAATTCCAGGTAAACTAAAGTATTTCACAGCATGCTATTTTTCTAGGGAGAACACTGATTTGCTGACTAGATGAATAAAATATGCATGGAAAAGATAGATCATCATCCAGTGTCATCTTGATTAGTGAAAGTTTTTTGAGATATAAAGGTGAAAAATTATTTGAGAGACACACAGCACCACACCATTAGCTCCTTTGCTATACTTTGCACAATAGAAGAAAAAAAAAATTACAACTACATGCTATAAGTCAACAAATCCATTATTTTTTTTTTATCTATCTCACATCCCCCACCCCCCATACACATGACAGTAGACCATGTGTGGGCAAAGATTTTGCTTTGGATCGGATGATCCATGATTCTCAATATAGCGGCAGGTTTATATGGTATTATATATGGTATTATATTATGAAAAACATGCATCTGGTCTGCATTAAAATGTATATATATCCATCATGCATCTGATGTGTATTATTTATAGCCATTATGCATCTGGTGTGTATTATTTATACCCATCATGCATCTGTGTATTATTTATACCCATCATGCATCTGTGTATTATTTATACCAATCATGCATCTGGGTGTATTGTTTATACCCATCATGCATCAGGTCTGTATTATTTATACCCATCATGCTTCTGGTCTGTATTATTGATGCTCATTAATATTGTTCAGTGTCAAACCATGCATGCATTGAACCATAATTATTTTTGTTGGATGAAGGTAACCTCAATATTGACAATGAATTTATGAACTGTACAGTAACTGTTTATCCATGCACTATGGTATAGAAATACTATAGAATTTCAAAAAAAAATAGCTTAAAGGTAAACATATTTAAAAAAAAAAAAGAGCAATACACATGCAAATGCCGCCACCACAAAAATCACTTGAACGTACATGAATACATAATCACTTACTACTAGCTGGAGCTGGTGGTGGGGCCACAGCTGGTACTGTGGGTTGGGCCACTGATGTTGGGACTGTTCTCCCACCAAATGGGTCAGCAACAGCTGGTTGTGAAACATAATTTGGAACTAACTTTAGTTCTAACATGATACCCAACATATCTGAATCAAAACCTAATAACATGCATGTTCTGAGGCCCTGTTTATTGAAAATCCAGGTACTTACATCATAACACAATAATAATCAAAGAAAGCTTAGAAAGAACTCCCGTGTGCTGAGAGTATTGAAGACACATTAAAAATTAATTCAAAATTACTTGTACATGAGATATTGATGGAAAAGCTGAAAACTAATTATGTAAATCAGGTAATTAATATGAACAGAAACAGAACAAAAAAATTATGAATTATTATGCTAATTAGAGAATATGAACAAATTTTAACCCAAAATTAATCAGGCCTGTCTATTGTCCTAGAGCATTTATGCACCAAATTTTATTCAAATGTGATGATCAGTAATTGAGATATCAGTGTTAATTAATTATATTAATTAGGTGATCAATAAGCATAAATATTTACCAAAAACTAATTTGGTTTCTGCATAGTCTCTTTAAAAGTTTCATAAAATTCAATTTGTGGTTCTTTATATATCAGTGGAACATTATGCAAATTAGGTAATTAATATCCAATAAAACTAATCAGGTCTCTGCATAATCCTAGAAGATCTATGTAGCAAGTCTCATTGAAATGTAATGATTACTACTTGATATATCAAAAGCTGAAAATTAATTAATTATGCAAATTAGCTAATTAATATATACTGATATTACCCTAAAAACTATCAGGTCTGTGCAGTGTCCTATGACATCTATGTACCAAATTTCATTGAAATGTGATGATTACTACTCGAAATATCAAAAGCTGAAAATTAATTAATTATGCTAATTAGGTAATTAAGGTAGAGATGCAGTTTATTTGGCTTGCTTTTTAATTGAGTAATTATACAATGAAGATGGTATTATATATCCAACATGTTATATATTTTCTGAAAGCTTATTATACAAACTTTGTAAAACTTGTCTTTATTTTAAATATCCAGAATGCGTTTTTGATTTTGGGTCAAAAATATGCTTTTTTGGACAAAAGTGGTTTAAAAAAAATTAGCTTAAAAACTTCAAGTCCATTTGTGGGTAAAATTACATCCCTGGATACCTTAGTATACTACTAATTCAAATGCGTCCACTCATCTCTCTAACGACTTTCAAAGTCGCACAGCATGACCTCAAAGTTCACTCTTTTCTATTTTTGCATAATCTATATATCCATGTTAATTGCGGACTTGTTATTTTTGTTCCACTCGCCGTAATAAACTGTCCGGACGCATTTTGAAGGGGGAACACCTTGTCAATAATGTGTGAAAATTTCGAGGCAAATGGCCAAAACGTCTATCAGCTATTTTAATTTAAAACCCAAGAATTCACCAAAAATAGAAGACGAGAAAAAGGCTAATTTGCATATTTGCGCGTTAAACCGGGATTTACTGCTTTGTCATACTTTGTCA